ACAGGCATGCCAACACACTCCCACCTCCAGGTTTAGGAAGATGAGGAATTTGTTGAAGTTTACTTTTAGAAGGAGCAGTTCCAGCTATACACTAGACAATGGTGGGAATGCGAACCCTGTCCCTAAAGGGAGGGAGGACTCTGCTGCCTCCCACCTAGGGATGGGTCCCCCATGCAGTTGTACCTTCACATGCCCCCCAGGATGAGAAAGACACCAGGCATCATCTGTGCCAGGGTGGCTAATCCAGGGAAGGTGTAAGGACAATCCTGGTTTCCACATTGGGGCTGCTCTCTCTAGGCACAGCTGGGGTGTTACATGAAGAAAAAATTCCATCACTCTAGAATTTGCCAAAAATCACCCAGGGGTAGGGGCAGAGAGTGGGGACACAGGTGAAACCTGAGAGGCTTCCAGAGGACAATCTAGGAGATGACATCAGTACTCAGCACTCCAGTCTAATTTTATATATTTCTGAAATTTCCATAATAAAACTTTTTTTAAAAAAGTAGGTAGCCACAAATAATACAAAAAGGTCAGTTACACCCTACTGCCCAAAGGCTCTTAGGACAGGCCACAGCCTGGGCTCCAGGACACTTTTAGGGGATGACTATCACAGCACTGCTGAGACATTACTGGCCTTCACCATACTGACGTTTAAACTGATGTTCCAAAAGCAATGGAGGGAAAGTGCCAGACTATCACCAGTGGTCAAGGCAGGACTCCAAACCACAGCCCAGCCACTGAGTTGCTCAACACTGCACACTCAGAGAAACAATGCCAGCTCCTCTTAGGGACATCTGTGGTGAAATGATAGAACGACTAAATCTACTGCCACTTAATCCCTATGTACACCCCTCTGTGCTGTTCTGTGTGAGGCAACAGGAAGTGCACCAGAGGCCTTCTGCAGCAGACCAAGCTCCCTGGAGACCAAATCACCACCCAAGCCTGTATCTGGATAAACCGCACACGTAATTCCACTAATTATGCACATAATTCCATTAATTACAACATGATGAGCCCAGAAGTTAACACAGACATAAGTGGAACTAAAGAAAAGGGTACTGCTTATTCCAACTTGGGATCTGGCAGACTGTTCTAGAAAATTAATAAACTGAGCCTGTTCTTTTAAGACAAACAGTGGTAGTATTTGTTGTCAAAGATAGAATTTGACGAAAACTGGATTCTGGGAAACTTGCCTTGAGCACGTTGACTGCAGCATTCTGCAACACAGGTGAACACTGCGTTCCAACAACCAG